TCTCACCCGGGAGGCGGAGCCGCCGTCGCGGCGGGGCCCGGGCCGGCGGCGGCGAGAGGCAGCGGCGCGGTCCTGGGGAGTGACGGGCGCGGAGGGTACGGCCGGTCGGGACTGAGGGGCTGCCGCACGGAGCGCGGCTCCACCGGCGGCCTGCTGAGGAGGCGGAGGGTGGCCTTGGGGCTTTTAATTCAGCTGTGTGTTAAAGGTTTAGGTTGGCAGCTTTTTCGTACTGGCCTGCGTGTTGTACCCCGCCTAGGGAAGGGGCTGAGGTATGTGTTTGTTAGGGAGTTTGGTGAGTACTAATAGGAGACATTTTCACATGATTCGCATGTTGTCCACTTACCGCTGAAACCTCTGAAAAGATTTAATTAGAAACTGGATTAAGTACTAAGGCCTGAGACCGTCTGCGAGCTCAACTGGTAAATCCCTGGAACAGCACAGCGGGTGCTCAGGGCATGTTTCAGGGCTGCAAGTACATCGGAAAGTTACTGAGGACTGAAAACGTAAGAATACTAGCGTTCAAAAGTATGTTCAGATTGTTTGGGGAGGATTAATAATATCCTGTAAAATTAAGAGCTCAAGTAGTACGATGTGTGGTAATAAACCGTATGATAATGGCCAAACTAAAATGACAGGCTAGATACATTGCTAGTCTGCAGTGACAAGAAAAATGTTAAAATAGGCTGTTGAGAATAGAAAGTGAGTTGTTTGTGCTTTAATAAAATTCATACACAGGTGCTTTTTAAGCTTTACTGAATTGTCTGTTTTTTCTAAACATCCAGGTAGCTCAGTTATCTAGATGCTCTGTGATACAGCAGGAAAGATTGAGGTTGTTACATTGAGGTGTCTGTATTAATATGGAATTTGAGTGTTTTGATGAATAGTTAGCTAATTACGCAGGTACAGAGGTAATTGACACTTAGAGTGATCATATAACCAGGCTTAGGCACATGCAGTTACTTAAAACTATAAAGATTATGATTGCTCCTGTGATTTATCACATGGATAACCAAGTTTGATTTTATTTGTAATTCATGGTCCTGACTATGTATCACTTTGTAGGTACTTAACATTACTCAAATGTTTAACTTAATTGTTCTTAGAAAGAAAGTTTGAAATTACAGTATATAGAGGCAAAAGGCCACTGAACTAGCTCAGTGTAGGTGCTAGAAAGAAATAAATAATATTGTGTATGTAATCTTGATAGGACTGTTGATATAAACTGGCATGATGGTTGTATCAGTTGTGCATGTCCCAGGCATCAGGTTAGAGTGTTCCAGTCACAGCTGAGCAGGAGCTCCTCTGGTGAGAATAGTCGCAGAAAACGTAATGTATTGTGGGCATCCATGCTTGGTACACAGTGAGCCCAGACTTGCTCTGTATTAGCTAGTTTTCGATGTATGTGCCCAAATTATAGCTGAGGCCTCCGAACTTCTTAAGATGACCCTGGTACTACTTGAAAAATTGCTTCCCTCTACATAGAATGCAGGTTGTGTCTGGTCTGTAATACTGTCTCCTGCAAATATGAGGAGTAGAATGATACAGTGTACACTTATTAAAAATGCTCCTTTCAGGTTTTTTTTTTATCATTTGGTCTTCATAATACCTGTTTAGATTGTTCTCATTCCTCTATTGGACTTTGGTTTTGATAATTTAATTGTTTTTCAGTGTCTGTTTTTACTTCCTATGTTTTCATACTGTGCTCTTTAATTTATAATAGTTTTCCATGCCAGAAGAACAAAACTGAACTATAATGGCTGTTGATGAACTTCAAGCCATAATACAAAGATGCGTAAGTGGTTTTCTTTACATAAAACTAACGAGTATAAGCAGTGTGCATTTCTCTTAATGTTTTATAATTAAAACTAAAATGACCCCCAAACACAAGACAGTTGTTAGCAGAACTCCTTGTTGGGCAGCTAACTTCAGCCTCCGTGTTTCACTGATTTTTCTTTAGTGTTTATCCCAAGATGCTTGATAACTTCTGTTTCTTGGAGAAAGAAGTGGTTTTGTACTGAACACTACCTGTCTGAAGTAATAAAATCCTAGCAGATTGTTGTAGAAAATATATCTTCAAAACAATATGCTGTAGTCTAGACTTAGAAAGTGCTATTGAAATACTGCTTTGTCTTCTGTAGTAGCTCTTGATATTTTTTTTTAATATGTGAAAGATGTTATATAAGAAAGCATAGGCTACAATGATGCTATGTTTAATTTTGAAATGAAAGCTTGGATTTTCTTATTTTTTATTTTCCTTTTATAAGTATGGTGTTAAACATGCATATTTTCTTTCTAGCAAATTCTGGAGGAAGCTGATTTCAAAGGAGAAGATTTTAATCTGTTTCAGGTAGCAGGTCAGAAATGTTTAGAAGATGGGTATGCAGCTCAGTTATTAGAAGTAATTCAAAATGAGAAAAATAAGGTGAGTTTAAGTTTGCATTGTGTATTAGTTTTGCACTAACGCTATTAAACAGATAAAACTGCTTGTTAAAAAGGGAAAGCTACTTTTACTGTGGAACAAGGCTGTACATATGAATAGTTAGTAAGTTGCTCTGTGTTAAGCGTGTGTTCTGTTGTAATTTCAGGTGGCTAGCTCACAGAAACCAAGTTGTGATAATCTCAACAAAACCATTAATAACTTTTTCAGTGAGTTAAGCAAAGAGAAAAGGGAAGACAAAAGCATAATTGAGAGAAAGTGACTTTGGCCTTTTTTGGCAGGACAGGATTTCAGATGGCATACTGGGTCTGGCTGGCATGGAGTTGATTTTCTTTGTGGCAACCTCTTTGGTGCTGTGTTTTAGATTTGTAACCAAAACAGAGTTGACAACAGACCAGTGTTTCGGCTATTGCTAAACAGTGCTTGTACAGTGTCAAGGCCTTCTCCATTTCTCACTGTGCCCCTTCAGTGAGCAGGGAAGTTGGGAGGGGACACAGCTGGGACAGCTGACCTGAATTGATGAAAGAGATATTCCATACTTTATAACATCATGCTCAGCAAGCAAAAACATGGGGAGGAGGACCCATTCCCAAGTAGCTGTTGCTTGGAGACTGGCTGGGCATGGTTGAGTTTGTGTGAGTTGGTTTGTGTCATTTCCCCCCTCCCCTTTTGTCCTTCACTTACTAAATTGTCCTTGCATCGACCCATGAGTTACTCTCTGTTTTCTTGTTCTGATTCTCTCTCACATCCCGCTGGGGGAGGAGAGTGAGCAAGCCGCTGTTGAGTGCTTAGTTGATGTCTGGGGTCAACCTACCACAGATAAATATAACGATACTGGCCAAAACAGTAAGGGCCAACTCAGCTAATGCTTATGTGAGAGATGCTTATGTCTGCAAGCACTTTGGGGAGATGGGATAATACACTAAATTGTACACAGGTAAATAAGAAGCTCAGAAAGAAGGTAGAGGGTGGAATATTTTGGCAATGTTACATGCGGTTCACAGTCTGGTTTTGCACTTTGTGAGTTTGGGGTAACAGCTGAAGATCTAAATCTCCTCAGGTTAAAAATAATTTGTCAGTGTTCTTTCTTTCAGCAAAACTCTTCTACTCAGTCCTGTTTAAAATGTATTGTCATATAAATTCTTAATATATTGACCTGTTAGAATTAATACATTAAAGAAAACTACAAAATATGCAGCTGTGTTTATAGGTATGGGGGGAGAATACAATGTATGTCAAATATAGAACTTTGTGGTAATAGTTGTTAAATTTTCAATGATGTTATTATGGTGTTGGTAACAACCAGGGCATGGATCTGTTCTCTTTTTTTGGCCTTCATATATGCAGTCTTTCTGGGTTCAGAAGATATCCAGTTTTGGTTTATTCTCTGAAAATCTGTTTTTCAGGTTATCATCAAGAATATGGGTTGGAATCTCATCTGTCCTCTTGTTAGATGTATTTTCACGTATAAACAGGAAGATGATAAACGAGAACACTGCCTGAAGATACTACATCAGTTGGCACAGGTATGTTTTTGAAATATATGGTTATAATCCAAAAATTGTAGGGAAGGGAGAGGTTTTATTTTTCTCCCTGATTTCAAAGGAAAACAAGACGTGAATACTGGGTTTTTCTGTCCATTTCTTGTAACTTTTAAACTCACAGGCCAGTTTCATCTGAAGTACACCCAGGCTTAGTGTTCTCAGAGATAACCTCTTATAAGGTTTTTGAAATTAGTAACTGGGCAAAACAAAAACAATACATCCACAGCAATACTGCCTCGTGTCTACTGCAGGTGCAATATGATAATGATTACCTGATGATTCTGATGGAGTAGTAGGGGAAAAACGTTTTAATCTATAGAAAACTGGTTCCCTTTCATTCATGTACTTAAGAGACAACTTGCAAACTCTATAGCTTGTGTTAAATTCACACTGAAGTTTTTCTTTTATGTTTACTCCTAAGGATTACTTTGCTAAGGTACTGTGAGGTTTTTATGGACCACAGAAATCAATTGTAGTGTCATTACTTACATGTTTTCAGCTTATATGAAACTGTACACACATACACTCTACAGAAGATATCAGTTGTAGAGAGGTACTCATTGTTTCATATTTATTTTCTTAAAGGTTATCTTGGATGTTCAGATCTGCTTTCTTGACGTTCAGGAATTTCTGCATTTAAGTTTGCTTGTGATGAATTTTTTAGCTTATTGGTTATTAAAAAATATGCATTGTTTCTCTCTTGTAGCTATGCAATCCAAAGGAACTTTTTTTGGGTTTACTTGAGCAGATTGAGCAGACCTCTGCAGAGCAAGTATGCCAAACTGTCATGTTACTGCTTCAGCCTTTGCAGACAGGTAAGATTCAGTTTCTCATGTGATTTCTGAATTAAATTACTTTATCATTAGTATCATAAACTAATTTAGTTTAGC